CTCTTGATCTTTATCATTTGCTGTGTTTATACAAAGCTTTTCAGCTTCCTTGTAGTTCATTGAAACTGTTGGGAGGGACAGAGTGAGCTACCTTGGAACTGGCATATCCATAACTTCAGTTTGGAAAGGTGGGTATTGCCTCTGCTTGAGGTGACTTGTTTCTGGTCAGCTTAGATCTTGTTTTAAAATGAGACGTATAAAAATTGCCACTAAATCTTAATAGTGCTTATAGTCAGAAACTCATCAATTGCTGAAAGTAATTGTACGATGTGCTTGCTTGTGAGAGCAGGGACCGTCTCTGGAGAGGCAAGAGGTTTTTCTTAGTTATATGTTCCTAGGCTCCACACCATAACCTAACTATTCCTGTAACAATACCTGTTTGAATCTGTGCTTCTCCAATGGCTCTAGTGAGGAATGGAACCACATTCTCAATTAAAAAGGCTATATAAACCCTAAATAATTGAAAGAATATTGTACTCTTAATAATCTACTGATATTTCTGAACTGTTGATACATCTTCCTGCATCCTAGATGCTCCTAGAGGGAGCATCAAAGGAAAAGCAACATCTGCGTGCATTACTTCTGCCGTGGCTGCAGCTCAAGAGGATTATTACAGAATTGCTGGACACTGCATGGCTGCTTATCTGCAAGCCCTTAACTTTATACAGTTGCGTGCATCCCGTTCCCCTATTTGTCTGTCAAGGATCCTTAAGAATGAAAAAACAAATGTAACTGATGCCTCATTCTTGAAATAAGTGTGGGGGGAAAAAAAAAAGTCAAGACCAACAACTTTAACTATAACTTAGTTATAAAACTTCTTAGAAGACAATTTCCTGGAATTTTCGGTTGCTGTAGATTATTGTGCTGCCAGAACTGCAGATATCTTAGGTATTGATTACCAAGTTTGCAGTAGACCTGGTGAATTGAACTCGGTAGATACAACTAAAAAAGCAATGGACGTGCTAATCTAAGATACAAAGCCATTCTAAGGAGACTTTGTAATCTTGTTAATAACATCTGCATCTGTCAGTGTCTGAGCCTTAAGTATTACTTCTAGATATGGATATCAGAACCTAGGATCTCATCTACTGTTACTTAGTGAAATTCAGTACCAACACTGTGCACACTTATTCACTGGTCTCAATGACTGAACTGATACACTGAAGTCTGATAAACAGATGTTTATGAGACTACTTCTCCTAGAGGCTCCCTATATTAAAGGTGATTATATATAGTGATAAGATATCAATGAGATAAGAACTTGGGTTATTCTATAGAAAACATTTCTAACTTCGTTTTAGGAACTTGGAAATCTCAAGATTTCAAGGTTTCTTGCAAAACAATTCTTGGAAAAGTTAATTTTGTGGTTACTTGACATGCCATGCTTCAGTCTAGACTGTGTTTTCAATTTTTAACAATGAATTTTGAAATAAAAAAATTCGTAAATCAGTTTTTTTTCAGTGGTTTTTGGGGAAGATTCTCAAAAAAATACAGGAAATGCATACAAAATACAGTTCAAAATATGCTGTGTTGTGGTTAATTGCTTTTGAGTAGTGAATAAAAAAATCTTCAAAAATTCTGGCCATTTCTGTTAGATATTAAGAATGTTCTGTAAAAGTAGTAATCTTGGATTGTGCATTTTTCTTCTGTGGAATTCCTGTAGCAAGTGTTAAAATTTTGAATTGGAGGGAAGTAGGTGATGGCAAACAGCATCTCAGCCATGGACTTCGTAGTGGTCTGTAGTGGACTCTCTTTTCCTCACAGCTGGATTTGTTAATACTAGTTTAGGGCTAAGGTTGACCTTCAGCTAAGGTAAACCTTTATTTGAGGGTAAGTATTGTCTAATACTAATGTATTGTTATTAGACAATTTGTCTGTTGTCTGTACTAATGTAGCCTCGTCTTCTTCCTCTGGAGCATTATTGGGTAGGAAAGAAATGTATATAGATATATTGCCTGTGGTTGATGTAGAAACTTAATTCAAGTACATACTCTATATTCAATTTGTTGCTGCTATCCAGAGTTGTTTACACATTCATAAAATCTGCATCACATTATTTAGGTGAAGTGAGGAGATGGTTAGACCTCAGTGTTGATAACCGACTCCTGGGTTTGATTTTTAATTGGACTAAGTCAGGCAATTTACTACTTTCTCATCTGTACCCTGTGGTAAAAATATTTTTTTCTCCTTTCCATGATAGCTACCTCAAGGCATGACTTAATGTTTGAACTGTTCATTGACTAAAGCCGGGCAGTATTGATACCAGGTGTTTTTAAATGAGGAGAAATAGGTAAATAGCTTAGGTAAAGATTGCATAGTAATAGGTGGCAGAAATCAAGGTTGTGACGGTGGCACTGACACAATAGACTTGTACACTTCACCTGCGTGGTCTGTTTTTCCCTGCTATCAGACTATTGAAGTACTTTTTGTTTTCCTGTCCATTTTGTTGAAAAAACGGGGAATGGATAAAAATGTAAGCTACGTGTGCAAAGGAAGAAATTTTAAAAGTGTGTTAGTCTTTATCATAGAATCATCAAGGTTGGAAAAGACCCTTAAGATCATCGAGTTCAACCGTTAACCTAACACTGCCAAGTCCATCTATACCATGTCCTCGAGCACCACATCTATCCGTTCTTTAAATCCCTCCAGGGCTGGAGACTCAACCACTTCCCTGGGCAGCCTGTTCCAATGCTTGACCACCCTTTCAGTGAAGAAGTTTTTCCTAATATCT